TTGGCTATGGTTTGCTAATTAATCCTCTATTGTCAGAATTCCATTTAAAATTTAAATATTTTGGTAAGCTGTAACAAAAGGTGTAGGAACATGATTTTTAGAAGGTGATAAATATCAACAAATAGAAGACTGCTTGAAAAATGTTCATGCTTAAAACATACTATATATTGCACATATCTCTTTCAACTTTTATGCTCTAGTCAACGTATTATAATTGAGCTCTACTGAATTACTCTTCTAGTGGATAAATAGTGTACACGCTGTACTGTGAAGAGACATCATGTAATGTATACTAATTAAGCCATTATATCTGTAGAGAAGATCATATCTGAAATATCAAATTAGCAGGAATTAAATATCTCAAAGGATTAATGAAATGTAATGGAGCCATTCACTTCCAGGTCAAGAGGTTCAATTTCAGCTTAGCTTAATAGTCATAATGAATTTATGTGTTAAGGAGAACAATTCTCTGCATCTATTCATAAATCAGGTTAAGAAACTCTGCCATGTCCCAAGAACAGAAGACTCTGAGCAGCACGGCCAGAACAATGTAGCCAGGAATGATGCTAGGCCTACATTTGGCAGGGAGCCTCACGCTCCAGGAGATCAAACAGCACATTTACTGGATGCCTGCAGTAAGTGTAGGCAGCAACAAGGGACACCAGAGACAGTCAGTTCTCTTTACAGCTCTGCCAACACTTGCCAACCTCAGCAATAAAGTTATCACAGGCAGAACATTCAGCTCCACTTTTTATTTGACTAAGTTAAGAGTCCATTCTGCTTACCCTGATTATCAGCAGCCCTTGCTGCTTGTAGCAGAGGAACCTGCAGTAAAAGAAAAATATGGGTGGGTGGGGCATGGAAAAGAACTGTTGCCAACTTTTATGCAATTATCTTACAGCTAATATGTGACAGTAAATGCACAGCTAACCCTGATTTTGTAGTGGAATCACAAATTTGAGGTGAAGGTTTCTTTCTGAGATTAAATAACCACCATGTCAACAGATTTAGGCATCAGCTCTTTGGTGATGATGGGAAGTAAACAAATAACCAGTTAAGAGCAAGTAGTTTAGAAATAAATACATCAAGAACAAATAACTGTATCTTAGTGAAGTATGTCTAAAGAGGTACATCCAACTGCTGCAGAAACACAGCAAAAGGTGACAGTCTGTACAAATTTATCACCCAAAGCACCTCTCTTCCATTTGCTATAAGGACTCTGGTGAGCATGCTGTAGTAAAGCTGTGGACTCATTCTGAGTTCTATCCTCAGCTTTTCAACTGTTCTTCTCTGAAGCTTTGCTAAAATCGCCATCTTACTGAGCTTCAGTATCTCCAACAACGCTTAAAAGTTCACCCATGCTGATACTACAGAAAAAAACTTAATTAGAATTTAAAAGTGCTTCAAGTGACTTAGAAATGCAAATTACTAACATCAGACCTTACTGCAGGTTACTAAACCACGCTATGGACTGGAAACAAAGAAGCCACAATATACTGCAGACAGAAAACATCTTACCCTGCTACCTCTGCTACCAACCATGCTTCATAATAAACCTATTCCCCCTTTGAAAGCTCCCAAGATCTGGTAAAACAAGGATTTTCAGCAGAGAGAATTTTGATGACACTAAAATAGCTTACAACAGGCTTTTATATTGGAAATAGCTTTTCAACCAGGGGTACTGAGATACCTACACCACAGTGAGACAAAAAAGCTGTGGCAGCCTACACAATATATGAAAAAAGCATCCAGCTTGCAGGATTGTTCTCTTTAAATGACTACAAAGAGAATTCAAGAACAAAGAACATTCTAACAGCTGTTTGCTTTGCTTTCCTGGCACACATATATTTCAAGTTTAAAAAACAACAACAAAAAAAAGAACAAACAACAAAAAAAGAGTAAACATGACAAACCAAAGCTAAAAGGAGCCATTTTTATCACAGGACTGCCTCGTACGAACAGTCCCTACTTATAACATCTCTCAACTCTCCCACTACAGTGAATGCATTAGAAGATTTAGTGAAATTTATACTCTATTTTTAATCTTTCAGCATGAAGCTGTGAAGTGCAGCGTGCAGTATTGGAGGTGGACATGCAGATATATTTGATGCATATTTTACTGATCTATCTTTTTTTCACTTCAGCCGCTGCTCTCCCTCTCGTATGACACGCATCTTTCAAGCACTCAGTTCCTTCAACAACACTTCTAGATCTATTTTTCTGTGACATACCAAGTTATACAACTCCAATTAAAAGTTTCTAAAGATCAGCAGAAGCTTGCAACCATTGTATTTTCCTAACATATATATTTTGAAATAATAATAACTATTATTAATCTATTATTATTGTATATATATACAATTATATATAACATCAGATATACACACACAACCTGAAATTATTATATGTTCTTTAATTTTTAAAGTGCAATTTTTACTGTGAATTCTCAAAGCATTGGAAAACAACATTTTTGTAATTTTCCTGTTCAAGAAAGAAAAAAGAAAATACTTTAGCAATATAGACAGATGTCATATACAGTATTTAGTAAAGTAAAAAGTATCCTCCAAGAGGCAGATGAACACAAGGCATTTTCTGTGTTGGACACAAGAGAAGCAGAAAAAAGAAACCCCTCTCAAAGCACTTGGTAAATATTAGGGATAATTGAGAAACACTGAAAATTTTCAACACCCCATTTTGGACTTCATAACTATTGTATTTCAGTGTAGAGGCCTAACTTTTTGTTCATGTGTACTTTATATAAACACACTATGTACGTATGTGTGTGTATTGTAAGATTTGTAAGGAGAGAGATAAGTTTTAGTAAACCAAGGTAGATGCTGGAAAAAGTACAGGTCTTTGTTGGTCTAACATAAGCTCTTACAGCTCTCTTGAAACCTTCTCTCTCACATCACCATGATGATGGTTACAAGACTATTTACATACCAAAAAAAATAATAAATCTCACTTGGTGAACCTAAAAATTTTATCTCCAGCATTTCACTGCAATACTGAAGCCACTTCATACAGACAGCAGAAATACGAAACTTGTGTAGTTTCAGACTTCATCTTAAATACTAGAAAAACTTTTCTATGTTTTCCTCAGTCCTAACAGACACAAACATCAAATTGCCTGTCAAAGAGGAGCCCTAGATTAGAAAACAAGCTTTGACACTGCAGAGAGAGAGGCAGTAGTGTTGTTTCTTGGTGCTACAGTACAAAACTATAAGGTCCACAGGGAAATCTAAATGGTGTATTTTTCTGTTTACCTTCAGGTGACAATGTCCAAATGCTTTAACACATCACTGAATGGCTGTTAGAAAAACTCCTGTCACTAAGAATAAAAATAGATGGATGAATAATGGTCAGGCTGGACCTTCTGCCTCTTGCCAGGATTACTGAGCAGAGATCTTAAAACAGCTTGTGAGCAATATGCAGCAAATCTAGACCTCTATAATCAGATCTAGAATCATCAACATTACAGATACATCAACTCACCTCTGAGTAGAGGTAAGTTAGGTAGTTGCTGGTGTTTCTCAAAGGACTCTGGTTTGTGAACTGAAGTCAGTAAAGAATTACTTGTTTCACTTTTTTTTTTTCCAACTATATTCACTGAGAGCACTGAGTAGGTTATTTTTTCCTTCTGAAAAGCTTGCATTCTGAATTGAAGCAATGTGATAAAGTGTGCCTTCTCTTCATACTTAAAAATACAATACACTGTAAAATATTTGTAATGGCCCCTTCATGAAACAGATTTTTGTTTTAATACAAGTGACTATAAAAAAATAACCTAACAGCAAGTACATCTTCGTAGATAAGGGAACAGTACTTGCAATGGTTATTTCCATTCACTGCTGCTTCTTGCTGTGTCTTGCTCCTGCAAGCTTGACATTTCAACATTTTCATAAATTGCAAAGCAAGGACAACTCAAAGAGTTGCAAATAAGGATTAACATGCTGGCTATGCTGACTAGTCCATCATGAAAGGCAGAGCTTTACCTATACTGTGCATATTGGTCTCCAGGGTATAAAATGTATGGCTTCAGGGGGACTGTGGTCAAGGGGCGATGCTCAGTTTTAGATGCCAGTTTCCTGAAGCAAAGTCACCTTTTAGGATAAGGTACAGCTGCAAAAGCTGTGCAGTCAAGAAATCCTATTGCATTTGTCTACTATGTATTTCCATGTCAGCAATCACTTCTATCCAAATGGACATATCCAAATCAAAAGTCACTGCAGTAAAACTGCCCTCTGATGAGGCACCCTGACCATTTTAAAAAGACAGGAGCCAACCTTGCAAAGCATTCTAGTGCTAGAACCTGGTTCTTACAGTGTTTCATTCAGAAGAGAGGCTTCTTGAAAATTATTTAACTCCTTCTTTAAATGAACTTTGTGCAATCCTTTCAGGTTGCTTTGAAGAAAAATGTTGAATCAATCCATATTCTAAAATGCCTTACAAAGAAGAAAAATCCCAGCAGTAAATCCACCTAATTAAGTGGAGGTGTATCAAGCCCATAGGGTATTACTGCATCTCAGCCTAATACTTTTAAACATTCTACATGTGGAACAGGCAGTGAGCTCTCCTCATTATTTCTCAAATGAAGCCAAGCAGATCTAACCCAAATTACAGCAAGATAAACCAGACAACTTAAGTGATGAAAACGATACTTTTTCCTCTGCTTTAGGGACACTTCTGGCTCATCTGTCCTCTGATCAAGGTGAGCCTGATAAAGCTGAAAATTACACTGTGCAACTGGATTGTACCAGATTATCTTTTCCCTGAGAAGTGATTTATTTTAGTAACTCTTGATGAATAAGAAACTTCCTGCTCCAACATGCTGCTCTTCACCGTGTGGGCATGGCTCCTTATTGCTTTGAGTGACAGATTACATTAAAGAAACACAGAATATGAGCAGCTACATCTTCTTTATGGCTCAAAGACAAATTCAGGTTGTAAGACAGACCTTGAGGGACCGTAAGTTTCACAAAAAGTGAAAACTGTGATAATTAGTTTGTAGGTTTAACTGCAAAAGTTACTGGCATATCTTCCACTTTTTGAGTGTGAGGAAAATCCAGCTTTGGTTTTGAGAGATCTCGCTTTGTAGAATTTGGGGTTTCTTGATCTTTAGATGATTCCAGGAGATCTTGCATGGCAAGTCTGAAAACGAGGCGAGGATCTGGTCCAGAAAGAGATGGACAATTGCAGCTCTCTCTTATTTTAAGAGCCTGTGAATACATAGGAAACAAATCAAGCTCATTCAAACAAGAAAAACAAAAGATTTCAGACAGTGGCTTTGGCTTTCCAATAAGCTCTACATTTGCACACAAAGCTTGGTGAGTATAATGCTGAGTCTGAGGTGTTACTAAACAACTTTTCAACAGAAACCCAAGAATTCCTGGGCAGAAATGTGGTATAATGGTAAAACAATGGAAAAAATTAAGAATTAAAATAATTTTCTCACAGACAGTCTCTCAAACATGGATAGTCTACAAGTTAGAGAATAAACAAATAGGAAGTTCTCTAACTTTTTAATGTGATACAGCACATCAGTACCTTTTAATTTACATTCACATGGAAACTAAAATGACAGAATCAAGAAAAAAAGGGTGGTGAATAATGTAATTCTTGAGATATGTTCTATCATTGAAGCAACTACATAGAGTTGTCTAACTCAAAAAAAGGAGGGGAAAATCTCCATTAACATCCTGGACATTTAAGTGTTCAGCACAGAGGTCCAGATGGTTGACCAGTATAGTTAAAGTCCAGTTACATAAATTACATCATCTTCAAGAAGCATTTGAACACACAGCTTCCAAGTTTTCTCAGAAAATAATGTCTCTAGAATGTACAAATTCATCTAGATAAAAGGATTAGCAGTAAAAGATCAAACTTTGTTACTCCTGCTAACTGTCATTGTTTCCATTCTATAGATTAGAAAGTAGAGGCACAAAGGAGCCAAAGAATTTCCCAGATAATCAAAACCCATTAGTGAAAGCACACTCCCCTCAGATCATCCTGTCCTGTGGGCAATCTGAGATAGGTATGACAATGGATGGATCTCTTGTCTCCAAGGCACCATGAAGAAATTGATATTGAACTGTATGAAGTCAGCTGTTTTAGAAGATGTTTGATTTTTCATTTTAACAAAGCTGAACATACCTTAATTATTCCATGCAAACAGGCATCTCATTTTAGACCTAACAAATGGATACCACACAACTAAGTCCATTGCAATATGTTGCAAGTGGCTGTAGACAGACCCACTTCTATCCATGGGTTCTCCCACAAGACCCATTTAAACTAATCAAAAAACCAAGATCTTATGTATCATAAAGTAAGATGTTCTATGTAGAATTTTAGAGGATTCTACATCTCTGCTAAGAACTATTTTTTAAGATTTGCAAAACAAAACACTAAGAAAACACCAAGTCAAAAATTAGCCTGATATTAATCAATAGTCACTGTGGAGCAGCCACTTTAACATCATGTTATTTGTATCTGGATCTCAACTAACAACATAAAACTCTGGGTAGATTGACAACCAGCTTTATTTTTAATCATTTAATGGGAATATAAATTCAAATGTATTTTATTCCACTTCACTTCCTAACTATGGATTCTCGAAAAGTAATGGCTGGACCTGTCCTGAGTTATATGCAACCAGGTGCCTCCTGATCAGTATTAGGGACTGCTGGCAAAAACCACAAGTTGATTCAGTCGTTCTAGATGGATTAAAGAGGAGGAAGAAAGTGACACAGTTTTCATAGCAGTCCTAGCACTGCACTTAAAAGCAGAGCATGAATTTTTATCTGCTTTATATACACTAGATTTGGCTGAAAAATCAAATATTCCAGTACATCTAGGCAAAAGTATTTGCTCATCATTTTGAAACAACTTGGCATTCTTTCACAGGAGACACTGGAAACATCTTACTACAGCACATTTTAAAACAGACAAGTAAAGCTTCTTAACTAGCTTCTTTGTATAAGGAGGTACCAAAACATATTTCTCCCTAACTTTACTGCAATAACTGATAAAGAGCTTGCTGTAAGTGGCTAGAAACAAACAGAATTTAAATTTAAGAACTGGTTTAGGAAGAAGATGCATTCCAGGAATATAGCAAGAGTCTCTCCAGCTGTTTCTTGCTGAAATGTAACATTCAAATCACTGGATACACAAGTCTGGATTAAGTAGGCAAATACTCCTCTTGTCTAACTTTAAAAAAATATGAATAAAGTATTTCAGTATTTGTTTTTCTACAGCATGACTGTACATACAGTCACCAAATGTAACTGTACCACTGAACATTCTTCTGCTTCAGTGACCAATTAATTTCTAAACTGACATTTATGACAAACCAAGAGTTTTCTCATGTTCTCTTCCAGAACACAAGCTGCTGCAAGACTGCATTAATGTCAAGCAGCATTATTCAAGGCAAATAGAAATATAAAGATTTAGGCTGTACTCTGGAAAGGGCAACATAATTCTCTTCTGAACTAATTTAGCTATTTTATATCTCTGTTTTTCATGGCTATATTGTGCCTGGCCTATTTCCAGTTTCATTTATCTAAAATATTAAACTCACAACAGCAAAGGTAAAGAACAATCTTTCAGTTCACGTTTTTACCCTGTGGATGTCTTTGCATTCTTGCTAGATGTAAAGCTTTCCAAGGGGGCAGAAGGCACCTATTCAACAGCATCAACTCACATGCCATTAAAAAGACTACAGTTATGAGAATGGAAAGCTGTGTTGACATGTCATCTCATTGTTAGACAGCTATGAACACATACTCCAGGTGAAAGTAGCCTTTGTATGTGCATTTGTGACTACCATGCTACATATAATCCTAGTTAGAAAGCATCCTTTCCCTTGCTGGTGACTGCTGCTATTTTGTTTTGTGCCAGTAACTTTGTAGCAGCATTAAGATGCCAGTAACAGGCTGAGGAGCTTACAATGTAATTTTTTTCTTAAGATAAGACAGCCTAACATGGTCAGTTATACCGTAGTTCTAAAATCACTGGCAACTTCAAGTCCAGAAATTTAATATTACTCAAGCAAATTGTCTTTTGACAATTAGGGCAAGAGGACAAGTAAAAGCATACTCAATGAAGCACATGCATCTCAATATTTTAATAAGAATGTGTTTCATTGACTGTTTTTACTGAAGAGTGTTCTCAATAAAGAAGATGGGCAGATCTGAGACAAGTCTAACACAGATTCACCTGGGAGCCAACAGCACTTTAATGCTGTTCTTTTCAGGTTAACCTTAAGAGAGATGTACTGCTGTTCAGAATAAAGACCACCTGCATGCTTACTGGTTCAGAAGACCTCAAGATATCAAATCCATTACTTCTGAGTAGCAATGGTGAAGCTGTTTTTACTATCAATACAATTGCAGCTACCGTGCTAGGAAGGCAGGATGCATAAGAAATAGGGAGCATCCTTTTGCTTTCATATAAATCCTACCAGCAGAGACAAATATAGAAACAAGTAATTTTTAGCTATCAGTATTAATCCTTCACCACTGTCAAAGATACCAGGCTAAGTGCTGCATCTCGACCTCTTACAGCTTTTTGGAGTGCATCCTACCTCTCAGGCTGTGATCTCTCTCACTATAAAAGTCACATCATTCTGTTGTCCACAAGCCAGGCCAAGGGTTAGAGTCTCTGGTGCATTAACTGCAGTTACCTCAGCAGGGCTGACTTAGCTCTGGCCTTGCAACTCTGACAGAAACTAAGAAACAGCACAAGCTGGTAGGGGAAAAAAAAATTAATTAACAAAATCAGAAACACTGAGTAGCAAAATGAATTACAATTATCCAGCTTAGGGAAGACAATAGGTTCAACAAATGAAGTAAAGAGATAATTAAAAGAAAGTACAGATTTTTTTACTTGATGGAGGAAAAATAACTACTTATATATAAAGCTTAAACTTTAAATCTTTCACTGCTTCTGTTGGCAGAGAAAGGAAAAATTGTGCCAAAATGTTTAACAACTTTATGGGAAGGATAGAAACACAAGTAATTTTTTTTTCTTCTTTAAGTTTTCACATTGACGGAGCTTAAATAATATATTCCAGTGCTAGAACTATCTAAAGTGAGCTTCACATTCTAAGTAAAGGGCAAATACACCAAAGCGTTTTTCCACAGGAAGTGAAATAAATGTATCTTCAATATCCAAAAGGCAGAAAACTGACAAATAAGGAGTAACTACCCAAATAAAATAATAAATGGCTAATGCGGATTTGGCAATAACAGGTCTTGCCCAAGTAAATTAATTAACTTTTTTTTTTACAAGTTAACTGAACCAGGGGAAAAAAAGAGAAGTAGCAGAGGTGATATATCCCAATTTAGCATTCTTCTCAAAATTATCTCAACATGGCATCTCCACAAGAAAGAGCAGAAAACAGGAGTTACAGTGAATTGAGAATGGAATCTGAGCCAACAACACAATGCCAAAAAAGCAAATGTCATGTCAAGATACATTTTTGTGTCACAGGCAAGGCTCAGTAGATTACCTTCTGCTTTATTCAGTACAGCTGAGGCTTCAGCTGATGTACAGGGCTCTATTTGAACAGCATAATAGGAAAAAAGCAGACAAACTGTATTAACTTAGAGAACCTTAAAATAAAAGGTTTGGAAAGAAACTAGAAGATCTTATAGCTTCTCTCTGGCACAAGACTTCCACAATTTTTCTCTCCGGAACATTGGCAAGCATCCTTCCCAATACTAAAAAATAATTTTAGGATTTATTTATCTTAAAATAAAATGCATAGGCATCATCAAGCATCTCACCACCCTCTACCTAGGACTTCTGGGAGATTTCCATTTCTTATTTAACAGTATATTGTGTTTTCCTAGTTTATAATCCAATTCTCTTCCAGTCTGAGGGGGAAATCCTTCAAAAACTTGGTTAAATATTTCTAATTTTCTTCATTTCCTTTCCAGGATAGCACTACTTTCTAACTGCTTATAGCTCTCTCATTTACCAATTCCTTAGTTTGGCTGTAACTTCCAACTTGTTCAGAAAACCAGATGCAAGATCTTTAAAACTCATTTGATTTGCTCTGTCTCTTAATTATGTGAAAAGAGAATCCCTGAGATATTCCTGCTTTAATTTACATTTCCTGATTAAGACATGCTCTTTCATTACCTGAAGAAAAATTCTCACTTTATTTGATTGCGTCTTCCAGTGAACTTGCTTAGAAGTCTGCAGAGAAACATCTGTGTGGCCTAAGAAGCCCAAAAACTTGTTCCTATTTCCTCCCAGCTACAGTAGCAAGTCTAATAATAGATATTGTATTGTCCTGAAAATAATTTCAACTTTAAAACTATCAGCTTATGAAACACAACACTCGGGTGGATCTGAAACTGAGTCTTAAGAAGCAGAGTTTCTTCAGAGAGAGATACTAGAGAGATAAAAAGGCCCTTTCCAAAATCTGGCTCTGAATACCTACCTAAGCATATTGTTCTAAAAGGTTTTAAGTATGTGAACAATGAAACAAAAATGCACCATCCTGAAGCACCAGGATTTCTTTTAAAAGCCCAATATCCAGCTTCAAGAAAGCAGTTCTCAAAGGAAGAAAAGTCAACACATCAGACAAGAAGCCTCCAACACCATTTTTATTCCACTTTTGTAGTATCAATATCATTTATGTCTACCAAAATTCTGTTAAAAACAGGAAGCCTTTGGCCCCCTCCAAAGAATGTTTAAGGTAAAAGGCAAATGAAAACATCCCCTCAAACATCTTCTGGAAGAAATTTTCCTAGCCTCCACTGCTCTGAGAAGTAAGAGTGGCTATAAAAAGATAAAGGTTGCTCCCCCTACTAAACTAGAAGATGTAAGACAGAAATAACTGCCAGGTCTACACAGTTGCTCAGTTATTTAACTTATTTGCTCAGTCCTGGGGTAGAATGTAAGTAGTAATTTATTCCATTCCCACTTTATAAGCCAGTCAATAACTACATGAAAATAAAGGATCCTGAACCCCTTATGTTCAATCTAACTAAAATTAAGCTGCACAGCAAGTACCATCAAGTATCATCAGCTGTTCTGCTGTGTTAGAAAATCCATCAAAATAGTCTCTCAACCTGCTTTTGCAAAGTATAGAATTTGAGTATATAAATTTAAAATATTCAGCCCAGCCAGTCTCCAACCTCTCACCCCTAATGTTGATTTGATTTATGCCATCACTGAGGATACCTACTGCATTCCTCCTTAAAGGAATCATGAAAATCTTTTCCTCTCCTTTGAAATCAGTAAACACCTCAACATTTTAACAATCCCTCTCCCAAAAAATCTTCAACTGTTTGAAATTGAGAAAGACTTAAACTGACTTGAATGTTTAAAAAAAACAGGGAAGAAGAAGAAATCAGCAGTTGGTTATAAGAAAGGGAATTTCCAAACACAGTTTAGCTTGCTGGAAAACAGTGCTGCTGTGAAGTGCTTTAACATTTTATTTAAAAAAGAACTTGGCAAAAAAACAATCTTACTTTTCTGTAGTTAAAACCCTGACTATTTAAGGAAACAGTAAACAAACCAAGATTACTAAACTTGGAACAGTTCTCTGTTCTTAAACTACCACCGAGTAGCACATCAAATTAAGATAATAACCAAATAGCTATCCACTTGGCATTCCTCTGAGAGGAAATCTGAAAAGAAAAAGAGAAAAGACTGCAGATTGATGGGCCATTGCAGGAATTATCTCAAGTTCCTTGCAGTGGGGTAAAATTTGTTCCCTAATGTGATGGAACCGAGATGAGAAGGAAAAAGCAGGCTGCAAAATCTACAGAGACCTATCATAACTAGGACTATTAAGAAATCTTCTACTGGGGATTCTGACATTCTTCTGAGACACAGTTATTTGAGGTGTTTTCAATCCCATATCACCGAGAGAGACAGGATAGGATGGAGCATTCCCTATTTGACAGCCGAGGGCTATCGACCAGAGCAGAAGTCAAGACAGCTGAGAGATCCACCTTAAAAACTGGCTTCCAAAATGGCAAAAACAAACAAACAAAAAGAACAGCTGAGACCTGTGACACTGTCACATCTGTACCAGGAAGACCACTCAAAAGCAAAACACTACACTTTGATCAGAAAGCAGAGAAGAAAAACCAAACCTATAATGTAATTATATTTTACCTGTGCTATCCTAATTTTTCCTCATTTAATGAAATCTTTCAGGTTGAGAGCTTTGTAACAGAAAATTTCTGTAAGGATAAGATATGCACAAGGCTAAATGAGTAGATTGTGAATCAATACCAAAGTAGCTATTGAATCAATACCAAACTAATTCTGGCAACCTTTCTAAGAGAAAAAGACAACTCTGCTCACCTCTGGGATCAACCGGTCTAAGTGCTCCGCTCTGTTTTCATGAGAGGGGTGTGTGGAGAGCCACTCTGGCAGCTTGGGCTGCCCTTGAATGGTTTCTACTAATTCCATTTTTTGCCAAAATACACTGCTTGCTCGTACATCCACACAAGCCTGAAAACAGAAAAGAAATTTATAAAACACTATAGTTTTAAAGTAATACATGTTTGAATGGATATTGAATCACAAAAGACAAATTTTGGAATCCATAACAGATTAAAACTGTAATTATGCAGAATTTCAATCTCTCTTTGTTAGATTCAACCATTTAAACTCTTGGAACACTAAATTTAAGAATGGCATTTGTATATCACCAACAGAGCCTTTAATATTTGCATTTAAGTAGAGGGGGAAAAAAGAATAGTATTTCTTACATTATTTTTAATATGTTTAAGATTAAAAAAAAAGGAAGCACCCAAAAGGTAAGAAAATTTCTCCTCCCACCCCACCCCCCAAACAAAATACAGAAGTGGTGCTTTATCCTTTGAATTTATTTCTTAAAATTATTCTTATAAAAAGATTATCTGCACAAGCAGGAAATGCTGAGATCCCACTTTCTTTCAGGTATGGCCCTGTACCTTAGGTATCACAAAGCAGCAAGCACCTACACAGCAACTACATGTTTTCCATGTATTGTATTATTCCCTTGGGTGACTTTAAACTAGAAATGCAGTTTCAGTCCCAGAATCAAAGCTGATTTAAAAAACTTTTCCTTGAAGAAATAGGAATAATTACCAAGAAAATTTTCTTTACGTAATATTAACACTAGATGGTGCTGCTCTCATAGTTATTTAACACTTCTCTAGTTCTACACCATGTTGCTGGAAAAGAATTATTTTAGTTTCTTTAATTTAGAATTAAAATATCCAGGAAAAAAAAAAAAAAAATTATGAAAAAAAATGCTGAGTAGTTTCTGACGAAACCTGTGTCTCACTTTAGCAAAGGCACATTCTTTTTATGGGTCTATTTAGACAAAATCTTTACATACTACAACAATATTTATATACTTCGTAATTATCAGCAATCACAGAAAATCACAATATCAGAAAGTTCCCACATTTTACTGTATTGTTATGAGAATAGGTATTATAGATCAAAGCATTTTAGGTGCACTACAATGTAATAAAACATTTCTCAGAACTTCTCACAATAGATGGAAAATGAAATGGAAATCTAAAGGGCAACAGAAGTTCACTATTTGGCATTCTTCTCTTTATAAATCTGTAGCTTTTTCCTCTAATAGTAATAAGCTACAGAAAAAGTGCACTGTGTAGTTAGTAAAGAACGACATTACAAACTTCAATTTTATTACAGACATTTCA